TATTCAATTTTTTCTTAATTTTTTTAGATGTGTAATTGTATTAAACTAATTTCATGTAACAAATGGATTTAGTGCAAGTTTTAGTTTTTGGTTTTTGGTTTTTTCCTCTTTAATTAATTTCTTCTCTTGATATATATAACTTAAATTCATTAGTTTGATATGGAAAAATTGTGATGGTTTATATGAATATCATCCTTCCACCATTAATAACTGGTCTTGAATATTGTTTTGAGAATGATTTTTTTTTATTTTTTTTTACATGAAACACTTTCTCTTTTAATAAGCCTTATGAGGCGAAAACTCGAATTAGTCTGGCCAGAGCTTCAAAACAAGTACTAGGCATCGAATGAGAGACCAAAAATAGATAATTAGAGGATCTCGGGTTTGAGCCTTATGAATGAAATTTGCTTTGGTATATATGAAGTGTTTTCTCTTTTAATGAGTCTTACACGGTACAAATTTGAATTAGTTAGGTCAAAGGCCTAAAAGGGACATCGAGCACCAAAAAGAGATAACTAAAGGATCTCAGGTTTGAGGCCATGAAATAAAACAAATTATTGTATGGAGCGCTTTCTCTTTCAATGAGTCTTACGCAACTCTAATTAATTAGGTTGGAGCCCCAAAAGGGATACTAACATCAAATGAGAGACCAAAAAAGAGATAACTAAAAGATTTCATATTTGATCCCTAAAAAGTCTTAAAAAATCTTAGTAGGAAGCTTCCCTTTTTAACAAGCCTCACGACTTTACTCAAATTTTGAATTATCCATGTTAAAACCTCAAAACAAATATCGAACACAAACTAAATAAAATGAGAGACCAAAAAGAGATATAACTAAAAGATCTCATATTCGATCCCTAATAAAAAGTCTTAAAAAATCTTAGTAGGAAGCTTCCCTTTTTAACAAGCCTCACGACTTTGCGCAAATTTTGAATTATCCAAAATCAAAACCTCAAAACAATTATCGAACACGGACTAAATAAAAAAAATGATTTGACCAATGAACAAAGGTTGACCATGAACACTAAAATGATCCAAAACACACCAACAAAAAAAACCCTAAAAAATCTCCCTAAAATTAGCAACCATGCATGCAAAATAACTCAAACAAAACTCACTCACACACACATTATTTCCTCCTCCTTCTCTCTTGATGCCATTGCCAATCTCCACCACCATCTCCTCCTCCTCGTCGCCGCCACAAACGGCGACAATAACACAACAATGGACCCCACAACCACCACCAACCTTGTCATCCCTACCCCACAATCATCCTCTCTCTCTTATCAACCTTCACCAAATAATAATAATAATAATAGCCACATTCTTGAAATTACTCTCATTTCTGCCCAAGATTTAGCTCCTGTTTCAAAATCTCTAAGAACTTATGCTCTCACATGGATCAATCCCAATAGAAAAAGAAGCACAAAAGTTGATAATGAAGGTCACAATAGCCCCACGTGGAATGACAAGTTCTCCTTCAAGGTTTTTCACGTTAAATACATATCCATATATATACTCTTTAAATTCAATGTCAAAGTCAGGAATTCAAACACGGGGATTCAAGAATTTCAACGCGTGACCTAAAGCAATATACATGCACTAGAATTTTCTCTTAATTTAAGGGGATTCGGATTTTTTTTTTTTACAAGAATGTCACCCTTAGAATTTCAATGTGTAACCTAAAGCAATATTTGAACACCCTTTATCATTATCATTTAAAGATATTTCTTTTTGCCTATTATTTGTATAAAATTTTCAATTCTAATATTTTTTTAATTAACAGGTCAATGAGGAGTTCTTATATTCAGAGAATTCAGCAGTCCATGTTGAAATTTACACTGTTTCTTGGTTTAGAGATGTTTTAGTTGGTACAATTAATGTTCAATTAAACAATTTAATTAGCCCTTGTGTTAATTTCCAAAATTCATCAAATGGAAAAAGATTTGTTGCTTTACAAATTAGAAGGCCCTCTGGAAATCCACAAGGAATTCTCAACATGGGAGTGGCTATTATTGAAAGTTCTATGAGAAGTATGCCATTAATTTGTAAAGAAATTATGGATCCTACTTCATTGGATTATAGGGACATTTTGGACAAGAAAATGAGTGAAAATTATCAAGAAGTTGTTGATGATGATAAACAAAGGGAATTAAATGAAAAGGTACAACTATGGAGATCTATGAGTTTAGGGTATTCCGAGGTTAATAATGACGAATTTCCTATCAAAGGTGGCTCCATTTGTAACGGTTCAATGGTAAATGGTTCGGAGTTATGTTCGGATGTTGGCCCTTCAGCTTCTATTGTAGCAGCTGAGATAGCCGCTAAAAGGTACTGTTATTAAACTATGTGATCATCTTATACTTTAAACTTTCATGTGGAGCATATTTTGAAATCTTCGACCTTTAATGGCCAATCATGGGGCAAAATTTAAAAGAGCCACTTTTCAGCCATGTAGTTTAAAAATAGTCATTATTTAGACAATGTCAAGAAGAGTTTGTGGAATATGAAATAATTTCATGACAGTGGTTATTTTTTAAAGATAGCCAAAGATGGCCAATGAGCTCTATTTCTATGCAATCATGTGTGAATTTGATAATCAGTGGCCATGAGGAGCATTTACACAAATGGCCTTTTCAGAGGCTACTATTTAAATTATGTCTCATATTATCTAGATAGTGGCACAAGCAAAAGGCCATATGATGCAAATAATCCGAACCATTCGATTTGATTAATTTAGGATTTATGTCTACTCATATATCATATTGAATTGTATAATAATCATTTTGTTTAACAAGATTAAATACTTAGAACGTACACTTTTAATTATTTAATTATGTTTTTATCAGGTACCAACAATTACTACCAACAGTACAACCCGAGCAACAACAAGAAGTGGAGACTAAAAAATCAAAGGAAATGGAAGATGGAGAAAGCTCACTAATATTAGAGGATTTAACAGCAGAGGAAGCGTATGTAAAAGGGTTATTATCGTCAAATAGGGAGAAATTGAGGAAAGAGACGATCGCGACGCAAACGCAGGCGATAAACGAAGGACATGTACGACGAAATTCCGATGGAGGAGGGTTGTTTTCTTGCTTTGGAAATGCGTATGGTATTGAGTTTAGAATTGTTTGCGGAGCGAACAGTAACAACAACGATAATAATAATAACAATAATAATGTTGGGAATAGTAGTAGGATTCCTAATAATAGCAATAAAGGTAGAAAAAAATGGTCTAGTGAGACAAATTCAGCATGAGTACAACATTCTTTTAGTACATGTAAAATGTTATATATAGGCTAAATTCCATGTTGTATAAAATCTTGTGTAGTTACTTGTCTAATTAGTACCTTCAAGAGTAATTATTATTGTTGGACTGTCGTGGTGAGATGAATATAATCTTTCAGCTTGATTTTCAAAAATATTGTTTTTAGGTTACTGTTTAAATTTTGTCCTATATTTCTAAAGGTTAGTGCAAATAAAATCTTCAAAAAATTACACTTTCAAATAATCTTGTGTTGTCTAATGTTTACATTATCTTACAAAATTTTAGATTGGAATCTAGCATTTTCGCATAAGATTCTTAGATTAATCAGAATGAATCTTTTAAATCGTAATTTATTTTTTAAAAATTTCATGAATTTTTTGCTAATAATTAGAAGTTTTGGATTCGAGATTTGAGAATGAAAAATATTGGGAATGGGTCCACTCAATTATTTACTTCTTTGAATGTGAATTGTTTATCTTTATTTACTTTCATTTGTAAATGCATGTATCACATGTGTTGGGTTATTTAATTTTTAACACTTCTTGTTGATATGATGGCCCACCACTAAATTGACCTATTTAAGATTGTGATTGCAAATGGATCCAAATTGGAATTTTTGAAGACAAAGGTATAATAATACAAATATATAGTCATAAAGATAGCAAGAAATAGTCATTTTCATATATACACTATCATTTGAAAAAATTGGACACCAATAATGAGTAGTCTTTTTCTCATCCTTGCTAGTACAACTATCCCAATAATTTTGTGAATTTCTTCGACTTTTATGATAATTGTTAGAAGAATATCTAAAATTTTGTCAATAATTGAAACATTAGATGATATTTATGGAGTTCAATTAAATCTGAATTTATGCAACAGAGGGCCTATTTATATGGATGACACTTTCAATTAGATTGTTTTTTGTCTTTCTTAAATGAAAATATTTGATTAAAAACCAAAAAATCTCAATCATCTCATCACAAATCCGTATTATAGTATAGGAGAATATGCCTTACATATATCCTAGTGAAATAAGTCAATATCCTTCTTTTAAACTTGTTTGTGACGGCAAGTAAGAGAATATAAAATTAAAAACCTTTCTTGTTAGCAAAAATTAAAATAAAATATCATGTCTCAATCATGTTTTCTTTTTCCACAATAAATTGTTTAACTCAAATCAAATTTTAGTAAGAAATGTTTCACCTACAAAGTAGAATTTAGTAAGAAATGTTTTACCTACAAAGTAGAACTTATGGTATTAATCTGAAATAGTTGAAGTTCAAAGCGAGTACCAAATATCGAGCGGAAAACTAAAAACAAAAGAAACAATGATAGTTAACCAAAATGATTTTAACTACTCCCTCTTTCACAATTTATGTAACATATTTCGTTTTTCAAGAGTCAAATCGTATAAGTTTGACTTGGAATTTGCGCATGAAATCTTTAATTTTTTTAAATGAAATTTTTATATTTGTAAACTACATAAAATACATTATAACTCACAATAATTGACATATATGAAAAAAGTTATAGTCAAAGATAGACTTGTTTAAATCTCAAAATCTGAATGTGTCACGTAAATTGGATCGGAGGGAGTAATAAAATCAAGAAAAAGAGAAAAGAAACACTCTAATTGCAAATGAACAACAGCCATCAATATAACATTCTCTTTTCCTCTGTCTTTCCTGTATTATTGCTCTCTTCTTATACTTAACTTTTTTTTTTCTAAATATTTTCATAAAGATTGAATCTTTCCTAATAACTCCTATATTTAATACAAAAAAATTAGAGAAAATAGTGCTGTTTTTGTACTTGTCCAAGTTTCTTGATTTCAAAGTATTTTTACTTTTCTAGTCAGCTTAAAAGCAAAATCTTGATAAATCATTTTGTGGGGTTTTTGTTTTTTTCTGTTTTCTTGATTTTTTTGTTAAAGAAGAAATGTTTGGGAGTGATTGTTGCTGTTGGGACAGTTTCACTGATTACAACTATGATGAAATTGAACCACAGAGCTTTACTTTGCCTTCACCAATTCCACAATGGCCTCAAGGTATTTCTGTTTTTGTTTTTTCTGTTAAAGAGATAACACAAGATCTGTATTTTGTTCTCAGTGGACTTTGTCAGTTTAATTTGTTCTATGGTTGACTTGGTCTAAAAATTAATATAATTATCTATTTGTTACTAAAGTTCACTTTTTTATGCTAGTTGAGAATATATTCTAGTATTTGTAATTTACCCTTTTAAGGCGAGTGTTTATCAGAAACAGTTGTGTATAGTTATTCATCCCGGACTCCACCTGTGAAATTAGACTGGATATGTAATTGTTGTTATAATTTAGTCTTCATAATATTAGCTTGTGTTAATTTACAATGAAGAATCATGTCGTTCATATAGCTAACCCCAACTTATTTGGAGTTGAGGCATTGTTGTTGTAAAGTTCACATTCTTATGTGGAAAGAATATGTAGTTCAGTTGACTCTCTCTTTCTCTCTCTCTGGTTGATTTGAGCTAAAAATGAAGAATTGATTTACTACGTCCGTTTCAATTTGACATGAAATTTAAGAAAATAAATACTTAAGATTTTTGAGTTGTGTGGTCCTAAATTGAAGATATGTAGAATATACTATATTTACCTTGTGGTCTAATATATGTAGAAAATTTGAATTTTAGAGTGCCAAAAACGGAAAGAGGTACTTTTTTTAATGGACTGAAAATGAAAGTAAGACAAACAAATTGAAACAGAGGGTGTATTTGTTAACGAAGTTCTCATTTTTATGCCAGTAGAAAATCACTTCTAGTAGTAGTATTTTTACTTTGTATGATATTGGCTTGAGATGAGATAGTTTAAAGAGAAATATGATCGACGCGGGTTCATATAACTGATCCAACTTGTTTGAGATTTAGGTGTAGTTGTTGTAAAGTTCACATTTTCATGTGGCAATAATCTCTCTCAAGTGAACTCAGTGAGTATTTATATGGCCGACCACATTGTATGGATCAAACTATATTGCTCGAACTCTCAAAAAATTATTGCCACATTCGTGTGTGATTCTCAAAAAACGCACTACTTTTGGAGGATCCAACATGCACTTGTCCGCATATTTGAAGAGTCCGAGCAACATAGTAGGTATCAAGCATGGTTTCTCTGTCTGCTTTAATGGGAATATTGTCTTTGTGTAGGTAAAGGATTTGCTCAAGGAAAAATATGCCTAGGTGAAATTGAAGCTGTTCAAATCACCAAGTTTAAGAAAATTTGGAGTTGTACTCCATTGTTTGGCAAATCAAAATCAGTTTCATTCTATAAACCAGATGAAATTCCACAAGGATTTTCGATTGTTGGCCACTACTGTCAGCCAGATAGTGTGAAGAACATAACAGGCTATGTTCTTGCTGTCAAAGATTTGAAGCCGAAAAAATCACTTCAAGATTTGACTTCCAAGCTTCCTGCTCTTGCAAAGCCAGTGAACTACACTTTAGTTTATAACGCAAACGCCCTTTATAAGGAAGTTGGTTACATTTGGCTTCCAAATGCACCAGTTGGTTATAAAGCAATGGGCTTTGTGGCTACTGCTGAGCCTAATGAACCGAATCTTGATGAAGTTAAATGTGTCCGCGCTGATCTTACAGAGAGTTGTGAGACTTGTGAAGTTGTATTTAGTGCAAATTCATTTTTTGCAAAGAGGCAATTTCAAGTTTGGAAAACTAGACCTTGCAAGAGGGGCATGTTATGTAGAGGGGTTTCAGTCGGGACGTTCTTCTGCAGTACGAGCTTCACTAAAGGCGATGACCTCACCGTTGCATGTTTGAAGAATCTCGACTCGTCTCTACAGGCAATGCCTATTCTTGAGCAGGTCCATGCACTCATCAAGCACTATGGACCTACTGTTTACTTCCATCCTGACGAAATTTACTTGCCCTCATCCGTTCCATGGTTTTTCTCAAACGGAGCTCTTCTATTTAAAGATGGTAAGGACAATGGTATTACTATTGACGCGAAAGGCTCGAACTTGCCTGCAGGTGGACGAAATGATGGGAAATATTGGCTTGATTTGCCTAATAAAGATGTTGAAAATAGACAGACTGTCAAATGTGGTAAAATTGAGACCGCGGAGCTCTATGTTCATGTTAAACCGGCTGAAGGAGGAACGTGCACTGATATTGCAATGTGGATATTTTGCCCCTTCAATGGACCAGCTACACTCAAAGTAGGCTTGATCAATCTTTCACTGAATAAAGTAGGCGAACACATTTGTGATTGGGAGCATTATACTCTTCGTATTAGCAACTTCTCAGGGGAGCTCTGTAGTGTATACTTCTCAGAACATAGTGGTGGTGAATGGGTTGATGCTCGTGATTTGGAGTTCATCGAGGGGAACAAGTCAGTCGTATATGCATCAAGAAATGGCCACGCGAGTTTCCCACATCCTGGATGTTACCTTCAAGGCAATACAAAACTTGGTATTGGAGCAAGAAATGATTGTGCAAAAAGCAAATACTATGTAGACTCTAGCAGTAAGTATCGAATCATCGCTGCTGAGTATCTTGGAGAAGGAACTGTCGTAGAACCGCCATGGTTACAATACATGAGGGAATGGGGTCCAACCATTGAGTACAAATCGGGTTATGAAGTGGACGAGATACTCAAACACCTTCCATCTTTTTTCAGATTTTCAGTGGAGACTCTCGTCGAGCTATTTCCAACTGAACTTTATGGTGAAGCAGGGCCAACAGGACCTAAGGAGAAGAACAACTGGTTCGGGGATGAAAGGTGGTAAGACAGAGGCGAATCCAGGATCTAAAGTCACTAAGTTCAAAATAAGTATGACCTTATTATACGTTTTTCCTTTTTGTGCATATGTATACATGATTGATCCGAAAGCAATAGGTTCAGTTGAACCCACATATTCGCATCAAGTAATAGGTCTTTCAACATTGGTTTTGGAATTCTTAGAATTGCCCAATGTCCTCCATTTCTTGTATATATATAACTTGGATATATGTATTATAAGTAAATGACTACAAAATAGTGAAATTTATTATATATATCCCAACAAAGAATGACACAATTAGTACTAGTTGATTGTTATGTTATTTATTGATCTCATCTTTTATGAAATTTATTCATATCAAAAAAAGAATAATGGTATCATAGTTTTCTAATTGTATTAATTTAAGTAGTGTTCTTCTTATCTAAAAAGGAATTATGTCCTTAATACTGATGAAAAAAGAGGTAATATCACTACTTCAATATTAATTCGAATCAAAAGAACTTAATTAAACTAAATATTTACACAATCTAATCTCACATTTTTCATTCACAATAGTTCTTGTTCAAATATTATTTTGACAGTAATATACAGATCAACATACACACATTTTGACTATCACTAAATACCTAGACAAATTCAAGTTGAATGAAATAACATAACTTTTTCGTTTCTACTAAAATTCGAACCTTGTTCACAATTTTTATTCACAACTTTCATTCAAATTTTGTCGTAAAGTAATCCAGATCAGCTTACACATTCTGACTATCACCAATATCTAGACAATTTCAAATTTACTAAGATCTGAACCCTGATCACATTTTTCATTCACATCTGACTTCATTCAAGTCATAAATTGATATACAGATCAGCATACACACATTCTGAATATCATCAATCACCAGACAAATTCAAATTGAAAAAAAAACATAATGTTTTCCTTTCTACTAAAATTCGAATCTTGCTCACCTTTTCATTCACAACAGTTTCATTCAAATATTGTCGTAAAGTGATATACAGATCAACATACACACATTCTGACAATCAAAGATATCTAGTCAAATTCTAATTGAAAGAAACATCATAACTTTTTTCATTTATACTAAAACTCGAACCTTGTTCACGTTTTCCATTCACAATGAATTTCATTCAAATATTATCATAAAGTGATATACAAATCAGCTCACACACATTCTGACTATCACCAATATCTAGGCATATTCAAATCGAAAGAAATTACATAATTTTCTCGTGTGTACTAGAATACCCTCATTAACTTTTTCGTCTTTTCACTTTTTGAAATTCAAACTATCTAAATTTTAACCAGCATTTTAACACATTTTTTCATCATATTAACATAAAAAAAATTACAACATCTATTATCTTTCCTTTAAAAATAAATATTATAACTTTAAAATTAGTTAAATTAATTCTCGAGGTGAAAAAAAATACACTTATTTTGAGACGGAGGATTTTTTTTTGTTATTTTTGACTCTTATACCCCTCCACCTTTTTGTCATTATCAGCATCCCCTTACTATATATATAGTCCATCAAATCTCCAAATTCCAAAAAAGAATACTCAGTACAGCAAAATCAAAAGTTCAAGAACCTCCATTTTTTCCTCCAAGTTACATTTTTTCTTGATCACCCACAAAACCCTTTCTGGGTTTTTGCATTTTTTTCATTTCAAGAACACCATTTTTCTCCGTTGTTTCAATAATGGAGTCAGATATGAATATACCCAGAGAAGAAGCAATGTATATATCAAGAATATGTTGGTACAAGTTCAAGAAAGTGGCAAGACTTGCTCTGTACACACCGTTTGTTGTTTGTTTAGCTTCCGGGACTCTAAAAAATGATACATTTCTGAGTTTCTTAGGTCAAGATAATTACTACTACAAAGCATTTGCTAAAGCGTAAGAGTTCTTTACTTAGTCCCAATTTGTTGTTTTTTCGTAATTTGGAGGTGAATTGAGTTGGGTTGATTGGTTTTTGAGTTAATGGTAAAAAATACAACTCGATGCTGAGTTGGCCAAATATTTGTTTTCAATTGACAATAGGCGCGAAAATGGAATTTTGGATAGTTGATATTAGGTAACTTGCGAAAATGTTATAGTTTAGGTGTGTTTTTGACCATTTTTGGTAACTGCAGATATAGTAGTTAAGTTGCTGTTATTCTTGAATGAAAATGGTGGAATGATATACATTTCTTGTAATGTAAGTTATAGTTTTTCAGTTTGAATCTTGGGACTGAGTCTGAGTGAGTAGTCTTTTTGTTCTTGTTAGGCTTAATCTGTTCTGCCATTTTTCGGTAATTGATTGGGTTTTTAGAGTTTCTGTAAGTGCGACAGTTTCCATTTTTGGTAACTGCAGATAAAGTAGTTATGTTGAAAATAGTGAAATGATATACATTTATTGAAATGATATACATTTCTTGAATCAAAATAGTGAAATGATATACATATCTTGAAATGTTAGTTGAAGTTCATTCAGTGGGAACTGTTTTGAACAGAGGGTGTTCTTCTTTTTAACCTTTAATCTTTAATGTTGTTGTTGTTGTATAGCTATCGATGCAATGGTGTTTGCTGCTAATTTACGACATAATAGTGCAGAATCAAAGTATTAAGTGTCGAAATGCAATGGACTTTGTGAGAGCAGGATGAATTTAGAGGAGTTATAAAGTGGATGCTAACAAATTTAGGATTGAGACATAAATGGTTGATTTCGTTTCCAATGAGAATATGCAAGAAATAATCAAATTATGGTCTGCCATTTATTTTTTTTCCGAGTGTCGAATGGTTACTTTGGGGGTAGATTATTGGTTTTTGGGATCTCTTTTAGATAATCTTGGAAAATTATCATTGGAAATGATATCTTGATCTTTCTTGTCATAATATGATGCAGGATTTTTGGGTCTAGTTGGTTTTGGTACCTCCATATTGGTGCTGATAAATGTTTGAGTTTTTGGTTGTGAATGAACTTGTTTTACCTATGTATAAGTTGTTTGATATTTTTGTTCTGTCTATGAAGTTCATGGAAGGTTAAGAAACACCAAAAATGTGTTGCAGATATGAAGCTGCAGAAAAGTATACTGATGATGATGATGCAAAGTACGCCCTTCGTGACTTGCAGAGGATTGCCACTAGAGAATTCAAGGTTCAAGACTCGTTTCTTCAAGTGAGATATAATGTTCTTTCTCTTGTTCACTGTTAGTTCTATTTCTCGTCATAAACTTGTTTATCATTGCTTGCTTGCTGCTTATTAAATATAATATTAGGCTATTATAGTAAGCGAAGTTCAATGTAAATCTTATTTTTAGATTTCAGACCAAATCCCAACTTAAGTTGCTATCAGCATCTTTATATTTGCTGCTTAGAATTTCATAGTTTTGTATCTAGTCTAACTAGTACTCTTGACATGCAAAGCTTAAATTCCTAGAAAAATCTATAAGCAATTGCACACAACAGGATGGCATATTGTAGTCCATTTAGAATGTGTTCTAAGAAGAGGGCTTACTGGGCACATAAGATGTCTTGAGGAGCATATAAGTAAGATTGTCGAAGAATCTGGAAGAAATATAGTGGAAATAAGGAAAGTGAGGATGATTAGAAGAGAGGAAGATGAAAAGACGAGCTTAAACTAGGTCAACAATGGGTATAGGACTGATTATTAGTGATAGTTCAGATAGTAAAAACGAACACATGATAGTTCGGGTAGAAAACTCACAAAAACATGATATTTCAGGTGTGTTTTTGATCATTTATCTCTTTTTCTTATGACACCACATTTGAAGTGCTAACCTTTAAATTTCTCATTTTCTTTCATAAATCATGAATCACTTTTAGGAGTGGGATGCTGATATTGGCAAGAAGTGCACTCTCAACCCCATAACACTCAAGTTCACAGAGTTCTTAAAGGCTACAGCCTCAGGAAAGATTGAAGGAGTATGCGCTGAAAAATTTGAAACAGAGTTTGAGAGAACTAAGTTGCCAGCTTATATCTTTGGTGCTATGATTCCTTGCCTTAGGCTTTATGCCAACCTTGGTAAGGAGCTTCTGGTGTTTCTTCAGGGAAATCCAACTCATCAATATAGGATAATCATTCGAAATTATGCTTCTGAAAGTTTGGAGGTTTGTGGCTTGTCTGTACCTTCCTTGTCATACTGCTGAATTCAGCTGGTTTAAGATATAACATAATGTAGCACACTTTTACTGCACTGGCTCACTTATATTTTCTGAATACAGGAATTGGCTAAGAAAAATGAGAACTTGTTGGACAAACTAAGCATCACTTTGACAAGCCACGAGCTCAGCATCGTTGAGAAGCTTTATGAAAAGGCAATGAAAATTGAAGTGGGGTTCCTGTTAGGGCAGCCACTTGATCAGAAATCTGTCATCCCTATATCAAGAGAGCACAATCTTGATGAAGAACGGCTTGTGATATTCTTTAAGTTTGATTCAACATGCTCAGTTATTGATTCTTCAGCCATCTTGGCAGAAATGACAATTGTATCAGCACCAAAATCTGATGAAAATCAACCAGAAAATCAACCAGAGAACCAACCAGAAAATCAACCAGAGAACCAACCTGAGAGCCAACCAGAGAATCAACCTGAGTGCCAACCAGAGAATCAACCTGAGTGCCAACCAGAGAATCAAGTTGTTCGACTATTGTCAGAAGTTCTTAATAGTACATGGGACGATATCTGTAAGGACTATACCGATGAATATGAGAAATGCATAGACACACTGTTGCTCACTCATGAAAAAGGTAGACATTCATTCTTGTTATTTTGCTGTTGGTTCAGCCTTGCAATGGTAGGATATTGTCACTGCAGTTGAAATGAATTTGATTTCGAAGAATTTTTTCCTACTTCACAGCTGAAAAACTTGATTATGAAAGGCTGCATAAAGCACTTGAGCAGCTTTCAGATTTTGAGAAAAGAGCTAATACGAGGGTGAGTGAATCTGGAGTACTGAGAGGTCTGAGACTTGACGGGATAAAGCGAGTTGGTGAGCTGATGGTTCTCCAGGATGGTTGTAAAAACTTTTTCCAGAGCATAATAAAAAATGAACAGTTGAATGCAGACATTCATGCCCTCTCCTGTTGTTGGTGCAGTGACCTTATAAGGTCTGCCTTTTCATCAGGTACTTTCTTGTAGATTTTGTTGAAACATATGGCCTTTGATTATATTTTGGTTAGACAACATAGTATTCTGCTAAAGTTTCTCAGACTCTTAATAATGTCGATAGGTGTGTGTCAGATCCTCCAAAAGTAGTGTAGTTTTGGAGGATCTAACATGGGTGCGAGAACATTTTTGGAGAGTCTGAGCACCATACCTTGTAACTTGAGGTTGACAACCTCTCTAAAAATCTTTCCTTTTTTGCCTTGTTGTGAACAGATGGTTTGGATGTTGTGAATGTGCACGCGAATGAGTTTATATTTGAAGAAAATCTATCCACTGGTGTAATTGTTAGTAAAGTTGAAGGCCCCTTCGACAAGGTTCAAACCTTCAGTGAAGTTTTAAACAACTACAACGATGACAAAAAGAACCTGACTGTTCACATTGGGGATACAGTGAGTGATTTGCTTTGCTTGCTGCAAGCAGATATTGGCATTGTGATTAATCCAAGCCCAAACCTGATGAGAGTCGGGAATCATTTTGGTGTTTCTTTCATTCCTCTGTATCGTGGCATCATTGAGAAACAGAAGACTTATGCTAAGAAAGACTCAACTAGTTGGAACAAACTCTCTGGTGTTCTCTATACTGTTTCTAGCTGGGCTGAGATTCACATGTTCATACAGGGATCGATATACACAGATTAGTCGTGTTAATTAGGACGTACATAAATTCATACATAGGGGTAGTAGATCATCATACATACAGCTTGGTGGCAAGTTCTATTGCAGTCCACAGAATGAACTCTTTTTTACAAGACCATCTCTTCAGAAGTGTAAATTTTTGATTCGTTGAATCGTCATGAGGAAGCTGGTGTTTCAACAATATTGCTCAAGTGTTACATACATGGTTGTTACAGATATATACTTGTTGTTCAGTATACAAGAAAAGGCAGTGATTGAGTTGTATACATTTTTAGTTTCATAGCTTTGTTTTTGGTTCTGCAGCTATTAAGAACAAGTACTATTGTTAAATAAATGCATAAGACATTCTATACATTCAGTCATCTAGTTATTGTTTTTGCCTTATTGTATTGTTAACCATTTTTTTTTTCTTGTTTGAGATTGAGGCGTAGTAGTTGAGGACCCCTCACCTCCACCTCCACCTCCACCCGCACACACACACATTCTTTCTCCATTCATGGGGAGGGGGGAGACTAGCCTCGTTACTCTAAGTCAATCCATGATAACTATGAATGATTTGAGTCTTCAATCGTTCAGTACTCGAGGTTCATCTATTAGTATATTTTTTTAATGATTATTTAGGATTTAATCCTTCTAGTAAACTTATTAACATCTTTGGATTTTGCTTAGGGTCGACTTTCACTTTTATATCAAATCATTGAATGCAAAACATGTATTGTTTGTACACACATTTGCTACTTAAGTATACTTAAATGATATGAATTCTTACTATTATTTTAATAACGTATTGTTTAATTCGATGTAAATATCGGTTGTTGTGGGTAAGTATTTAGTGAAATTAAACTCTCAAATTCATCAGCCGCCAAGCCCACTTTGTGAACCAATTCAAAAGCTCTGTGCCCCCACCTTGAAAAAAGAAAATGTAGGGTTAAACATTATTATTTTCATAATAATAATAATATAGGAGTCAAAAGAAAAACAAAAGAAAATCAATTTTCTGATGAAAATCATAATTTGGTGGGTTTTATGTCACTACAACAAACCAAAGAATAATTTTGCGGCAATAATATAATTGTTGTTATATCAATATAATATAAGTACTTATAACTAACACTCTACATAAATGTTACTAAAGATTTTAGTGAGTTCTAAAAACAATGTCATTAACTCAATTATCATTAAAATATTCTTACGACAATAAATATTATCATTAGAAGAAGATCTATTGTCATTAAATATCCTTTTTTTTAATTTTTTTTTATTGTAGTGTGTTATATTTAAATAGTTTAATTTTTTGTTTTGTTTTGTTTTGAGAAGTGGGAATTTAGTATGAAAGAAAATATAGTTAGTCAATTGTCATAAGGTAAACAATTAATGAAATTTAATTGTTTGGCCTAAAAAGTCATTGTGAATTGTCCAATCCTGTTTTATTGTTTAGTGGATTAAAGATTCATCTGATTTGAATCTTTGATTATCCTACATGGGGTGGGTGGGTTAGGACCCCACAAAAATAATTATTTGTATAATATAAGTTCATAATTGAATCCCCCACCACCAAGACCAAGACCAAGACCAGGACCAAATATAATTGATGACCATCTCAAATATTTTCATTATTATTTTCCCCACTAATAATAAATCATAAAAATCCAAAAAAAAAAGGTAATTATTATTATTGTCAAACTTCTGTATATTTAACATCTTTTATCTTAATATAGTATAGTACATTAGAGAACATATAATATAATATGTTATGAAAAATCAATGTAAAAAGAATAATTGTTACCGTTAGTATTATTATAGATGAAGATCGATATAAAAAGATCGAACTATAGAAGAATTCAATAAATATTAAGCATCTTCCTAAATCACATTTTTTAAGTTTGTATTTTTATTTATAAGATATTAGATGAGATATATTGGAAAATAAAGAAATTATTAATCGACTATGCTGAGATGAATATGATTCAATTATTTTTAATTAAAGATTTTGAATTTGAGCATGTGAACGGAAAAAATTCTAATAAGTTCCCTCTAATGAACTTTACTTAATGTGAAATCAAATTTATTGAACTGAGCATCAAATATCAAACTAGTGAGAAATTAAGTGATTTATGCACCTGGATAGGTTTTATTTATCAAAGTTATTCGATATTTATATTGATTAGAAATAGTAGATATTCAGTAAAATAATTAAAAAGCTTAAACATAGTTATTTAATATTTTGTGATTATTGATAGACAATAATTAAAATCTAATGAAATATATATAGTTGAGGTATGCTCAAACTTACTCGAAAACCATTATTATTAACAAATATAAACAATATGCATGTGACACAGACCCTTTATTATTAAAATATTTTTTAATCTTATCACTTAATTTGTTAGGTATCCAGTTGGCATATATTATGCATGTATTTATTTATGTGCTTTCATTGTATTCCACCACAAAATTTAAAATAAAATAAAATAATAAAACACCTTTATTACTTGGAATTTTCTCTTATAAATATTCCACCATTTTGCTACTCAAACCCTTATATCCTCATCTTCTTCTTGTTCTTTCTTCATTTTTTTTTTAAAATCTTACTATATTTTTTGTTTATAGATTTAAAAAAAATAATCTCTTTTTAAGTTTATGATGGAAATGTTAGAAGTTATTAAATATCATTATTTTTTCATGTTTATTTACCAGAAAGTTATGTGAAGATGAAAGAATCAAGAACAAGAGAAAGAAGATGAAATATTGAAGAATTTGCCCTCTTAGGCAAGTCTAATGCTTGGCTTCATTTTATTTTTTTTAATGATTTAGAACTTATTTTAATTTATTTTTGTTTTTAATTTTTGCTTTATTTTTCACTCCCTAATTAAGTTTAGTTTTGATTTGGGAGGTCAAGTTTTTTTTTTTTTTGTTTAGTATCTTTTAAATGCATAGAGCAATCTTGTATCTTTAATTTCTTGTAATTTTGAAAGAAAAAATGTTGGTTTCACTCACCCCCTTAGTTTGAGAAATTTATTATCTAGTTTTTTTTTTTTTTTTTTGTCAATGCAATTAATAATATGAGTTTTATATAACCCTACCTAATGGTCCAATAAATTAATAAATATATATAACCCTAATAGCAAAAAAAAAAAGAAGTAAATTATTGTGGCTCAACAACAATATAGTAAAGTAGTTTTTGATTATTCTGGCTCAATTAATTACTTTAAGGTTTTGGTAGTAAGAAATATGAGTTTAATGTACTCACTAGATTTATAATTTTGTATCTATAAAATATAGGATAGATAATAAACGTGGACTGTGATGGGCTGATTGAATTCCCTCATAAGGTCTTGTGTTTGAGTTCTTGTTTTTGTTATTGGGAGCATCGTCCCAAAACATGAGGTGTATAGCAGAGGCGGACCCACCTTGTTCGGTGGGGTGCACGTGCACCCGTTAACTTCGAAAAAAATAATGTGTATATATGTATATCTATCTTGAGAAACTGACAGAAGTTAGGATATAATTAACAGTGCACCCATAAATAGCATAAGAGTTTTCTTGTGTTGTTGGTACGTACAAGGTTAAGGAACCACCCGCGAGACTAGGGTTCAAATCCAGCTAAAGTGCTATTTTGTAATTTTTATTTTAAATTTAGCTTAGAAATAATATTTGGTGCACCCGAAGTCTTCAAATTCTGGGTTCGCCTCTGGCATATAGTATGCAATGCAAATTTAATTGAGCTTTAATATAAATACCGATTGAATACGAGTTGAAAAATAAAAAGAAGTAACTTAATGTAATGAAGATGTAGTAAAGGATTCATAATATGAAAGTATTTACTAGTTTTTTTTAAAATTTGTTTTAAAGTGTTTTGATAATTTTAGGAAGACAAAAAATAAAGGATATTTTATAGATACAAAAAAGGGAATATTTTCATGGATTTCTAATAGTAACGTCCTTTATTGTTTTAATCATGTTCTAGGTAAAATCCTAATTATCGTGGCCATAATTTAGTATAATTAAGATAATGATTATGGTTTACCTATCCGGTTTTGGTCGTGTCATTACAAAAAAGTTTAGTGGAAACTCAAATAATTAATCATGATTAATTTAATTAGTTCATTTACGTGTCACGATTAGCAGAAAAAATAGTATAATAAGTAAAAGAGATTAGTTAAAGGAAAAAAACAAAAGATTATTGTTTACCTCTCAATTTTTGTTGTCTCATTACCAAAAAAAGTCAAATAATTAATCATGATTAATTTTATTAGTTGGTGTACGTTGTCACAATTAGCAGAACGATTAGTACAATAACTAACAGGGATTTGATTTAAACAAACAAATAAAAACAAGAAAAAGAATAAATCATTTTCAATCAATTGATAATTTCTATTGGTTAATGACTCATCAATACCACAAGCTTAATTAATTAGATTAATCATCAAAGTCCCTAATTAGTTGAAATGAGAATTCAGGAGTTAACATTTTATTCATTTTTTTCGATTCGATGGGATTAATGAGAATTGAACCCTACACCTATTGTGTGGCAAACTTTGAAAAAAATAATTATATTTAAAAAGTAGTATGATTTTCTATACCGCACTTGTTTTTATAGTCGAATCTTTGGGTCTAAACACACACGATTTTAATATATTAGTGTAAGACATGTTTACTTATATGCCCAACATTTCTCGTGTTCTGTATGGAACTCTTATCGAAGCGTGTCACAATCTTTTTGCACTTTTTTTTTCTACAACTATAATATCGGAACTTGCTTGAATGCACCTCGACTAATCTCAAAGGTATCTACTAGCTTTCACCAAACAAGTATCAAGTAACTCCATCCACTAAGCTTAGACAAATAGAAAGAAATCATCTCCTATTTTGCCCTCGCTAAGACACTTTTTGCACAAGTACCGAGTAACTCTATCTCAAAGAAAAATTGGCAATAGACAGAAGATGAAGCATCACAATCAGCACCTTGTAATATCACTATGACAAAATTTCATAACAAGTTCAAATTAGGTTATTGGGGACCAAAGCTTGGACTTAAAGAGTGCACAACTTTTGCAGAATACAGGTCCCTCTATGGACATCCAATAAAATTGGAACGATACAGACAAGATCAACATGGCCCCTGCCTGTGCTAGGATGATACGCACAAACCGAGAAATGGTACCAAGAAACTATTGAAGAATACACAGTTGTTTCTTAAAACCATTTCAGTCTTCTCTCCAATTGTTTCCACACATCTTGTTCTTGCATTTGTAAAATGTAGTCATAGGCTCATCTGCTGACCTTATCTGCACTTGATAATATGCAGCTTCCCTGTAACCACACGCCGGACACGGAACTGCCAAGAGCGAATAAAACAGCAAAAGGGCAAGAAAAAAAGATGTATATTAGCTCTAAATTTTGCGAGTTGTATAAAAAAACACAACATTTGAGGGTTCATAAAGCCGACTCCAACTTCTCTGGGATTGAGATGTAGTTGATGTGGTCTAAAAAACACAGCATATGCTTTTCGTATGCACACAACTTTAGCACCTCCCATATATAAAGTTCAAGAATCACATAAACATACATACCACACGCACACACGAAGAGAGGTTTGTCCTTCCAAGAAACAAACAACACTAAGAATGTTAGTTTAGCTGCACAAGATCGTAAAAGTACAATATCAAACTACCAATTCACGATGTTCCCTTTAGCTCAGTTTGCTTGGTTTGAGTTGACTCACAGGGGATTAAAAGAGAAACTTTGAATATTTTGCGGTATTTGAATTTGCTAGATCTCTGTGTATTCCAATTTAAGTGTCTTTCTTGTTTCTCGCAACAAGAATTTAACTCTAGCTCTTGTAGTTATTGTTATATTTTTTTACTCGTGGAAAGTAGAAAGGCAGAAGCGCGGGCTAGTCAGTCACAAACTGGGTCTATACTATCCACAGAAAAATAACCATCTCCATAGGTAATCTATAAAAAGGCATAATTCAATTATGGAGATTGGTCATAAGTCATACCAGAACCACCTTAACATGTTAACTATCAAAATAGCCATAGATTCCCTCAGAAAATAAAAAAATGACCGCCATAGATAATCTATAAAAAGGCTTTCACTAACTTTATGTATCATCAGTAATTGTTCAAGCACGGGAGGGGGTAATATTAGAGTTATACTTTGATTGGATAATACAAGGAGAGGAAAGAGGATTACCTCAATCTATTATATGTACACATGTATATGAGAATCGATTACAAACTAATTGAGAGAATAGATCTCAGTACAACGGAAACATCAAATATAGTGCCAAGGAGATGGTTATATCTACGTTCTAAAACACATTAAACTCAATGGACAACCAATTATTGGAACAATAATTCAAACTTTTGGCATGTTCAAGACAATAGCTATGAGAAATAAGAAGATACTTACGTCATCTAACATCCTTGTGAAATTATAAATGTATTAACTTTCTTCTCTAACTATTTTTACTCTGAAGGTTCTTCAAAAAAGTTCGGCAATAATTTGGTTAGTAATTTTAGATGTAACATTACTAACTCATAGAACAACTAATTCTTAGATCGTAAAAGTGTAAGCAGTGGCAGCAAGTCATGATAAAACCAAGAAGCTATTAGTAGAGAAAGTGCTAAGACCTTCAGCAGTCGAAGCATTATCCATGTCTTCTGTCGAAATCACTGGATCCATTTGTTTCTTAACCAAAGGCTGCCTTTTCTTCATCTTAAGCTATCAAACCATGTAACAAAAGAAAAAAGTAAACTTACTGAACGTCTGAACGGATATGGGATAACAAAAGGACCCAATGATAAGTTCTCTAGTTATCTTACCCGGTTCTCTAAGTTACATACGAAAGGGCATGCAGGGCAAAAGAATCTGGCTGGACGGTCCATATGAGGCAACTCATATTGCAACAACATTCCACAGTCTGGGCAAACTTCCATCTGCAGCTAGCTTTGTTTTGTTGCGAAGTCCTAAATAAATAAAAGTCCTGTCTTTTAGATCACTCTACACAGAGTCAGAGCACACCGAGAGGTTCAAGGATCACCTAAAATAAATACTCCATCCTTCTGAACTTAAATGATACTCTTTTCATTTTAGATGTTCCAAAATGTTTGAACCAATCTATTTAGCCAGCTTTCAAAATACTTTAAATTTTTGTGACATTTTCCATTACTAACATAATATATTAGTCAAATAAACAACCTAAACTCTCCGTCCAATCAAAAACCTTCATATAAAATGAAGCAGATGGAGTAAATAAAACTGTCATATCTCTTACTATAGTTAAGCTTTTAAGATGAGACAATCCCACAGTTCAACACAAATCACTGGAACTTCCATATCTCTTGAAAAAAATAAGTACATGGGGTTTGGTAGTCGAGCTGAATAAGGTAAAAAAACAGAGAAAAAATTTGGGCTTTGTTCATCACCCACCTAAATCCACCCCTTTGACAATTCTCGATTTAAAGGGGCAAATTTTGGTGATTGCTCAGAACGACATAACTGAGAAAATGGAAGCACTGAACTAAATAAATAGAACTATACCTCCCTAAAAGTTAAAACTTTTCAACCAGATGGTACACACAGTTCAACGTATTATGGTACCTAACAACTAAGATTTCTATATCCTTTGGTTTCTTGAAAAAAATCAGCATATGGGGTTCGGAGTTCAAGTTAAACAAGAAAACAAAAAAAAGAGAAAATTTAGACTTTGCTCATCATACACGTGACTTTTAGCAATGTGGCCACCAATATGGATAAAAATCGATTCTTCATCCAGTGGACTAAGAAAATTCCTCAAGTTGGTGAATTGTTCGGAATAATACAACTAATCAAGGAAGTAGTGAACTAAATAAATAGAACTATACCTCCCTAAAGGTTTAAACTTTTAGACAGGATGGTACATGCAACTCAACATGTTCAAGGGAGGAGCTTGATCATCAGCTATGGGATCGTACGAATCAAGTAACTTAGGCTTAAATCTTGCATATATATTAGAAAATCTATTCACAACATATCCAATGTAATTCCACAAGTGGAGTATAGGGAGGGTGAGGCGTACACAAACCTTACCTTGTGAAAGTAGAGAGGCTGTTTCTTAGACCTTTGGCTCGAGTAACACATTTAGAAAATCTATTAAATATGTATAAACATTCAAATTTAACCCATTAACTAAGACGAGCTACACGTTCAATGGCAAGTTCAGAACCCATAAACTTCAACTCCTCGCTTCGCCTATGAACATGTTTGGATTACCTAACAACTAAGACTTCTATATCCCTTTGTTAGGGATGGCAATGGGGCGGAGTGGGGCCGGTGCGAGGCAAAACCACATTAACCCGCAAAGACTTCAACCCGCCCCTGCCCCGCTGAGTTAAATTTGTAATTTTTAGCCCGCCCCCCCCCCCCCCCACCCCATTGCCATCCCTACCCTTGGTTTCTCGAAAAAATTAGCATATGGGGTTTGAACTTAAGCTAAAAAAGTAAATAAAATAGAAAAAAAAATAGACTTTTGCTCATCATATACATGAATTTTAGCACAGTGACAACAAATATGGACAAAAAATCGATTCTTGATTCAACATGACCAATAAAAATACTCAATTTGATGATTTACTAGCAGTGAGAATTGAGAAAGAAACTATAAAAGTGAAGAAAATTACCTCAAGACTCTGAAGATCAGTCTTTGTCTCCGTTTTAGGAGTTGGGCAGAGAATAAGGAAATTGAGGGTTTTAGCTTTTTAGGGGAGAAGATAGTGTGAGGTTTTGAGAAAAGGGACAGTATTGTAATTATACTTTATTATAGTTGAGCAAATTGAAATAATTTTATTATCATGAAACTATATTATGGTAGTTGAATTGTAACAATGATTATTTTTTAAAGACACAATAAAAGTGAAATTAGATTATATTAACTCAAAACATTCTTAGATATAATAATGCATAATTATAAATTATGAAGTTGATTTTAGACAACATATAAATCACACGTTTGAACCATAAAAATAATCATTAGTACTCACATTATAATGAATTATCTAAATCACATTTTTTAAATGTAGCCTTTGCTTGAATCACACTAACGCATGATTTTTTGTGCACCGAAATACTTTACTTTCAAAAAAAAATTATTTTATATAAAAAAAAAAGACAAAGAGGGTCAACTTCCACCCTAACTACAAAGTTGTTTCAAGTTTATATTTGGCCATTTTGCACAACGCCTTCCTCCGCCGCTAACTTTGTACTCTCTTGCCGTGAACTTCCTCTACTTCTCTTTTCCACAAGGCAAATAAAATTGTATGTATTTTCTCTTCATTCATCTCACACAAAAAAATACTTTCAACATTTTTTTTTCACTGAAACATGAATTTTCTTGAACTAGACTATAATAGTTTGTAATGCTGTTTGATTTTCAGTTGTGAATTTTAAACAAGTTAATATACTTTTTTGTTGGAACCCCTTTTGATATTTATGCTTATCATATTGTGTTAAAGGAGTTTTCTTTAACTAGATTATAGTCTGTAATGTTGTTTGTGTATCAGTTGTGAATACTAAACAAGTTAGTATACTTTTTTGTGGAACCCCTTTTGATATTTATGCTTTTAATAGGTGCATATTGTGTTAAAGGAGTTTTCTTGAACTAGACTGTAATAGTCTGTGTTGCTGTTTTTGTATCAGTTGTGAAGTTTAACAAGTTAATAGGCTTTTTTGTTGGAACCCTTTTGATATTTATGCTGTGTTAAAGGAGTTCTCTTTAATGGATTATAGTGTGTAATGTTGGTTCCAAAATTGTTCCTTTGTGAATTTTAACAAGTTAATGTACTTTTTTCTTGGAACCCCTTCTGTTTTTTTGTGCTTTTAACTATCACCCTGGAGTGAAAAGTTTGTTAAGTGGTTTTCTTGAACTAGACTATAGTCTGTGTTGCTGTTTTTGTATTTTTAATTTTAAACTAGTTAATATACTTTTTAGTTGCTATCCCTTTTGATTTTTATGCTTTTAACAATTATCTTTAGGTGCATATTCTGTTAAAGGAGTTCTCTTTATTGGATTATTGTCTATAATGCTGTTTTACCAATTGCTTTTAACAAAAAGGCAGCTCGGAAATCGTTCATTTATGAATTTTATCAAGTTAATAAACTTTTTTGTTGGACCCCCTTTTAGTTTTTATGCTTTTAACGTTTTTCTGTAGGTGCATATTGTGTTAAGGAGTTTTCTTGAATGGAATATAGTCTGGAATGCTGGTTTACCAATTGCTTTAACTAAGGCCCAGCTCCAAAATTATTCCTTGTGAATTTTAACATGTTAATAAACCTTTTACTTAGAACCCTTTTGGTTTTTATGCTTTTAATGACCATTTTTAGGTGCATATTTTGTAAAGGCGTTTTCTTTAATGGATTATAGTGTGTAATGCTGGTGACTGGTGTTTGGTCCATTGTTCTTTGTGAAATATTACAAGTGCAGATGCTCTTTTTCTTGGCATCCAAGTGATTTTTTTGCTTTTAGCTATTATCTTTAGGTGCTAATTGGAGTAAGGAAGCAGAAAAAATGCTCGTATTGTTTGAAACGCCGGCAGGCTTTGCACTTTTCAAAGTACTCGATGAAGGAAAACTCTCTAAAGTTGAGGTACCAAAGTGTTTAACTTAGTTTTGATTGCATTGTAATGCAAATTGATGTTTTTGGGTTTGTGAGTTTCTTTTGTATTTGATGATGAATCTTTTTATGTTGCAGGACTTGTCAAAAGAGTTTACGACGTCTGATGCTGCTAGAAAGGTTATCTTCCTCTCTATTCTTAAAGGCTTGAACTTTAAGAGATTGAACAGTATAAGATTACATTTTCAAGCAATTGTTTGCATATCTGTAGTGCATTAAATATGCTAAAAGATTACATTTTTTTTGTTCTGGGTGGGTTGTGAGAGGGTTATATTTTATACTGTGTTAATCTATAATATGTCATTGGAAAAAATACAATGAGAAATCCAGGTAAATGTCAAGTAGACATTCACCGGAAATCTGGACAAAGTTGATATTGGTTATTGTATCTCTATTATGTTGCATATTTCTTTGAAGGCTCGGTTAGTTTTTGGATACAATAGCTGCAAACTTTTCAAACACTGAACTTAGCTACAATCTCTCAAAATCAATGAGGGCTTAGCTAAGAACATAACACAACGGAGACAAGGGCTCCATATAGGTATGCCATCTAGGTAGAGCTATGGAGCTGTTGCCAATGTAGAGATAATTGGGGCACATAGAGAACTTTGTTTTTTATCGAACCCCTGATTTGACTTAAACTAGTATTGGAATGGATTGGATATAATCTTATAGCCAATGTACCTTATTAAAAAAAGGACTCTTATATTCAATGTGACTAGTTTGGATTGTCGGGGCAGTTGATTGACTGATTCACAACATAGAACTTGCTTTTCTTTCTGGGTATGTGGATGGGTGTGTGCAGTGGCAGAATCCGGTTTTTTCATCAAAGGGATTGAAAATATAAAGAGGTAATCACATGAAGAAGCCTAGGAGATTCAACATCTACTATAATATATACATAAAAGATAATTTGACTTTATATATTTAGTGTAATTTCCAATGAAGGGGTTCAAATGAACCTCCTTGTGGCCCTAGATCCTCCCGTGGGTGTGTGTGATTAGCTTACACTGAGAATAGGACTGAACTGCCTAAATTTTTACTGTTGGTCGTTCTGTTGTTTGACCTCTTTTTACCATTTTGGTTGGTACATATAAACAGGTTGTCAAGTTGAAAGCTTTCTCTAAGTTTGAGAACACTTCAGAAGCACTCTCAGCAGCAACTTTATTGATAGATAGCAAGCCTAGCAAAGGACTTCGGAAGTTTTTGAAAGCACACTGTGATGGTGAAACACTGGGTGTTGCTGATTCAAAACTTGGAAATGCGATTAAAGAGAAACTGGTTAGTTCCTTTCATCTTCTCATTGCGTCTTTGTCAATGTTGTCAATAGTGTGCTTAGATCCTATGTTGCTCGGACTCTTCAAAAATATCAGTTGGTGCGTGTCGGATTCTCTAAAAGTACTATACTTTTGGAGAATCCGACATGGGTACGACATCAAAAGTGAAGAGTCCGTGCAACTTAGCTTAGATCATGCTTAAGCCCTGAAGTGAGGTGCAAAACATGTTGAATGCTTCACCTCACTTAGCGGGCGCTTTAACATTGTCATCAAGCAAAGACATACTTTTCCTTGCCAATGAGCTTAATCTTGAATAGGCGACACTAAACAATTGATATTTGTTATTCATGCTTATAATAATTAGTCTTGGACTACAAATCCCTTTGGTAACATTGGTCTTTGTTTTCTGGTGTCTTTCCTTTTCTTTATTGAAGTTGATGCAGTATATGTTTGCAGCAAATTGAATGTGTTCACAATAATGTTGTGATGGAATTGATGAGAGGGTTGAGAAGTCAGTTAACTGAACTCATATCTGGTCTGGCCACTCAAGACTTGGCTCCAATGAGCTTGGGTTTGTCTCACAGTCTTTCAAGATACAAGCTGAAATTTAGTCCTGACAAGGTGAACTTTCTATTTTGATAGGTTGTATTATTTCTAATGTCCCTCGTCTCAATTTTATGTGTTACCGTTTGACCTCTGTACTGTAATTCATATCAGGAAATTTGAAACTGAAATTCTGAGTTTAATAACATTTTCATGCAGTTTTAATAATTGAAGTTTCATTTTGCTTTGGGAAATTTCTGAGTTTTAGAATTCAAATGGTTTCATCAGTCATGCTCATGTCATTGTAGAAAGATGAAGTAAACATTTAGATGTCAGAGAAAGCTACTCTGAAATAATTTTTGATTACCTTTAAGTTGGTGTGCACTGCCATTTGCCTTGGTTACAAAAATGGTGCTGGCGGATAGAATTGAAGTCTTGTAGATTTCCAACTTTATAGTCTTGAGGACATGGTCCTTTTTCACCAAACTAATACAAGAGCTTATGATTCAATATTTGTTGCTCTTCTAGGTGGATACAATGATTGTCCAGGCCATTGGTTTGTTGGATGATCTTGATAAAGAGCTAAATACCTATGCAATGAGGGTACGAGAATGGTATGGCTGGCATTTTCCTGAGCTCGCAAAGATTGTACAAGATAACATCCTTTATGCCAAGGCGGTTAAGTTGATGGGTGACCGTGTCAATGCTGCAAAGCTTGATTTCTCTGAGGTGGGAATTCGACTTCTTTCTTGCTCTTTAAATCGTTCTTTATTGAACTAGAAAGAACAGCAAGATTCCCTTCCTTGTGCTTTTGTGCTATAACGTGATTTTACTTCTTTGACAGAAATTAAAATTCATAATCTTGGTTGCTTGCAGATACTTCCGGAAGAGGTTGAGGCGGAATTGAAAGAGGCAGCCATGATTTCAATGGGAACTGAAGTTAGTGATCTTGATCTGGAGAATATTAAAGATTTATGCAGCCAAGTCCTGTCCTTCTCTGAGTACCGGGCTCAGTTGTATGATTATTTGAAGAGCAGGATGAATACCATTGCCCCAAATCTTACGGCTCTAGTGGGAGAACTTGTTGGAGCTCGCCTTATTTCCCATGGTGGCAGCTTGATGAATCTTGCAAAACAACCTGGAAGTACAGTACAGATACTTGGTGCAGAAAAGGCGCTCTTTAGAGCTTTAAAGACGAAGCATGCTACTCCCAAGTACGGGCTTATATATCACGCATCTTTGATCGGTCAGGCAGCACCAAAACACAAGGGTAAAATCGCAAGATCTCTTGCCAGTAAAGCTTCTTTGGCAATTCGATATGATGCTCTTGGAGATGGCCAAGATAATACCATGGGTTTGGAGAATCGGGTCAAGGTATACATTATCAAATACTATCGAATTCAGACTGTTTTCTTTTCATTTCTGCTCATAACATAGTTACACCTAATCATCATTGTTGTCAACTTTTGTAGCTCGAAGCACGATTAAGAGCTTTAGAAGGCAAAGAGCTGGGTAAATCAGCTGGTTCTGCTAAAGGGAAACCTAAAATCGAAGCTTATGACAAGGATCGTAAGAAGGGTGCAGGAGCATTAATAACACCAGCTAAGGTCAGGAACTGGACTTCAATTTGTACCATCAAACCTCTCTATAACAACGTCAATTCATTTGTCCCCCTATTTTTTTGGCTGCTATAGTGAAATGATGTCATAGAGAACATATAATATAACATAACATGAAAATTGGTTCCATAGAAAACTTGGCCGGTATAATGAAATGTTGTTATAGAGGACAATTGTTATAGAGAGGTCTCGTCTTTGTTTTTACTTTGTTGATTCTATTTCCAGCTATTGACTTACCCTCACCCTGTAGGTTTACAATCCTTCTGCTGATGCTGTTCTCGGTTGTACCAACAATGAGAGTGTAGATGAACCACCATCCCAACCTGAGGTATCCGAGAAGAAAAAGAAAAAGAAGAAGTTTGCTGAAGCAGAGGATAATGACATTGTTGAATCTGTAGAAACGGTGACGAAGAAAGAGAAGAAGAAAAAGAAGCATGCTGCTGCTGATGGTACTGAAGAAAATGGTGAAGTCGAAAAGAGTGAGAAAAAGAAGAGAAAACATAGTGATGATGATGATGAAAGTGAAACTGCTGATAAAAAGAAAGAGAAAAAGAAGAAAAAGAAGAAAACTGAAGAATAAGATGGACACAATGCTAAGGACTTCCTCTCGACATCTCTCTTTTATTTAAGTCATCGTATCTGTAAGTAGGTCCATTATTAAGCCTATGCTTGTCCATGCCTTGATCCTTCCCTTAGACTTAAGACTCATTACCTCGTTTCAACTGAACTCGTTGGTTTCACGCTCTATCCTAGTTCTAGAACCTTCTCTTATATATTCTCTTCACCAAGTCATCGCCAGCAATCAATTGGCATCAACAAATTTTGTTCTTAGGCATTGTTTAGTGTCTTAAATTAGTTTTTAGTCTTTGTAATGTGACTTTTAAACAGATTCTTGGGCTGATTTACTCATAATTTTATCTTAGTATTCAACAATTGATTCTTGTTTCACTTGGAAGACGCATTAATACTTGAACGAGTAAGTCAAACAAACAATTTGTAAGCAACTTTTGGAAACTTTATAGATAACTTTTTGAAAAGCTTTATAAATAACTTTTTGTCATCTCAAAACAAAAAATTGGCATAACTTATTTAAAAACTTTAATTTTAAGAACTTTTAAATTTTTTGAACAAATCTCAAAAAAAAAAAAAAATACCTCTTTTCTTTTGAAAAAGTATTTGAATAAATTTCTTTTTTTTTCCTAGTAGAAACTTTAGTTTTTTTTTTACTTTTTGCAAATTCTAAAACATATACATCTTAAAATCTCTTCAAAAGATTGTCTGTTTATATTCTTTTTTTAAAAAAATAATTTAGAAAACCTTTTATTTTTATATTCTGTTTCTTCTTCTTTTTTATATTCAATAACAATAATTAATAATATATATTCATATAATATTATAAATAAAATACAAAAATGATAAAATATATACACAAATCTTAACCCTCAAGTCTACTCTTTTTTTCTTCTTATTTTGGAAATAAGTTCTTTTTTCTTTGTTTTTGACTTTTGATATTTTATTTAGAAAAAGAAAAGGGCAAGCAATAAAAAGGGGAATATGCATGTTACGCGTCCCAAAGCATAAACTTAATGGTTAAGGTTAAAAATATTGTTAAATATATAATCGAGAACTATTGAAAATTGTTTCTCTATCTTTACGAAATAGAGTAAAGCTTTGTATTAACTTGATCTTCTCATGAAGTCGATAATTTATTAGTAGTTTTCACTCTATCCTTACGAGATATGAACAAGATCTATATAGACTTTATTATCTCATTAATTCCGTCTATAAAATAAAGTTGGATATGTTATGGTCATTATAAGGATCTATTGAAAACAATTTCTCTGTCTTCACGTGAATTACAAATAAAATCTATATAAACTCTACTCTCTTTTCACTTTACTTGTAAAATTACGTTGAATATAATATCATTATAATAAATACAAAAATATAATATCCTAATTAAAAATTAATAAATCTTGGACCACATCAGATACACCTAGTACCATCGTGTAAGCCACGCTTTATACACGTGAAAATGTTCTACCAATATCAATGTTTAATATTTAATAACTTGATTTAAAATGATATAATATATCGTCTAACGATTATTCTATAACAATATTTCACTATAATAATCTAATTTTCCTTCGTATTGACTTTCATATATTTTAGCATTTTATCATAACATTATATAAAAAAATATCCGAATAACCGACGTACTCTATAAATAGATGTTTTTGCCAATTTACGTTCTTACCCATTACCATCACGAAGATACTGCGCCGTTTTGGATATAATTTTTTTCTATAAATATAAATTAGAAGAGATAATCAAGTAAATCACAATGGCGGTGGAAAATGGACGTAGCTCCGCCGTTAGCGGCGGTGGCGGTGACGGTGACGGTGGTGATATCTACCACCTGCCGGAAGGTTGCATAGCGAACGTACTATCATTGACGAGTCCGAGAGATGCGAGTAGGTTATCGGTGGTCGGTACGGTTTTCCGGTCGGCTGCTGAATCTGACGCAGTTTGGGACCGGTTTTTGCCGCCGGATTACCGTGATATTATTTCCCGGTCTAGTGATGGACCGGAATCGATCAATGTCGGATCTAAGAAAGAGCTTTATCTCTATCTATGTGATCATCCTTTCTTCATCGACGGTGGGACTAAGGTAATTATCAGATACTATTTGAATTTAATTTTTAATTTTCCATATTTCTGATATTGTATTTATGCTTATTTATGTCGATTTCTTAGGAATTATATATTTTTTGAATCTGGAATTGTTGAAAAATGTTATTATTTGAGTAGGGTTAAATATGATTTCAATGATATAATAGGTAGATACCATGCAGAAAACTGAGGTGATTATGAAAAAAATGTTGCTGTACATGTATTGGATTCTCTAAAAATGAATACTTTTTTTGACGTGCACCATGAGGCATTGAGAGTCCGAGCAACATATGTTATGAGAAGAAACTTCTTGAATATGGGAATTATATTAGTGTGAAACACACAGAAAGGAAAAATGGTGGTTAGAGTTCTTGGAATCATTGATTGTTTGAGACTTTTAAGTGTGTACTAATGCGGGGATATAGTTCGTGTATTCATCAAGTCCGTGTGTGTGCCAGACAATCTGCTTGCAATTTGGTTACAACAACCTTTATGTTAAAGATGGGGCAGTTGCTCTGCATATTTATTATTGTATAGTATTAGAGCTTTATATACTTATGCGGATATTATTGACATTTTATGATACCGAAATCATTCCATGTAACTCGTTAGGCCATTAGTCCCTTTTCAATCTATCTTTTGGAGATCAGAACTGATTGGTTAGTTTTTTTGGGGGGTGTCTGGGATGGGGTGCACCAAACGACTCCTTACAGATAGCATTGGTCCACTTGTTGTTGTTGTTTGATCATGTTGTGTCTTTTCCGCTACACTTTTATGGTTACTTCTGACTTGGTATTGATGAAATCCAGAGCTTCTCATTGGAGAAGCGCAGTGGAAAGAAATGCTACATGTTAGCTGCGAGGTCACTTGCAATTATTTGGGCTGACACACCACGGTATTGGAGATGGATCCCCCTTCCCGAGTCCAGGTATTTCAATTGACGAGTAACTTTTATTATGGTTAGAGAAGTCGTCCTTTTCCTCCCAATCTTTTCTGTTCTTGACTTGGCGATCCACATACTTGATCTTTTTATCATATTTTAGTTCGAATAATCAAATATTTTGTTCCAAAGCACAGAAGAGTAGAAACGGTTTTTATAAGATATCATTTTGTCACTCTCAACTCTGAAGTTGATCTAATGGTATGTTTTCGTGATTTAGGTTCTCAGAGGTTGCTGAGCTTCTTGAAGTCTGCTGGTTTGATATTTCCGGCAAGATAAACACCTCTATGCTATCCCCTGACACCAACTATGCAGCCTACTTTGTGTTCACAATGAAATCCAGGACCTACGGATTTGATCGCCAAAGTGCAGAGGGTGCAGTAGGGATTTCGGGGCATGAAAGGAAACCACAGACAGTTTTCTTGGATCCAGAGGCAGCACGTAGGCACATGTACCAAATCGTTCCAAGGCGGTTGGGACTACTCAACCAGATGGCTGATATCCTGAGAAGGGGAGTGAATCCTCCTCCTTCAGAAAACAACATCCAAGCACGATACCCGCAACAGAGAAGTGACGGATGGATAGAAGTTGAGTTGGGAGAATTCTTCGTCAAGAGAGGGCAAGACATTGAACTCGAGATGAGCTTGACAGAGGTGAAGGTAGGTAACTGGAAAAGTGGCTTAGTTGTTGAAGGGATTGAAATCAGGCCTAAGGAAAGGTAATGAACTTGATACTGAAAAGGTTCATTTGGTGTCTGTGCTAAGCCATTTTTCTATTGAAGGAAAACTAAAAGCTACGAAGGCCTAAAACCCAATTGTCCCATATGTGGCTGGTGAGATTTTGACAAAAAAAAGAAGATTTGCACCAAAGTTTATCAAGAAATTGGATCATCATATGGTCAACAGATTGGTGTAAAAAAATCTACACATGTATAGTGTCTTAGCCATTTTATATTTTGTTGTGATCTGTTATGTTTGCTCTGTTGTATTTTGGTCAATAGTCATTTGTGTTGAAATAATTTTGTGGAACTCAAATGCTGCTTAATAACTTTGTGGGTGATACCATTCCTCATATGTTTTGCATTATGCTAGGAGACACAACTACGTCGATATTTTGTCCGAAACAAGGTTCATCTCGCGCCTTTGAAACACAATTTTTTTGCGTATATTTTGGGCATTTAGGAGCCATTCTTCAGGAATTATTCGATTTTCTCAGTTTTTTCGTGTGTGTGTTAGACCGTGATTATTTTGGTGATATGGCTGTTTTTTTTTTTGCAAAATCTTTACAGAATTCTCTGTAGGGAGTTGGGGAAGTAGTACGTGAAGCCTCACCATTTTTTGCACATATTATGGGCATTTAGAAGCTATTTTTATAGGATTAGGCGATTTTCATGCGTGTTATAGCCCAAGCATATATTGTGATATGGCTTCCGGATGGTTGTTTTGCAAAACCTTCATGGAACCCTCCGAAGGGAGTAGGGGGAGAAGTACTTGAAGCCTCACAATTTTTTGCACATATTTTGGGCATTTAGGAGCCAATTTACAGGAATTAGGCGATTTTCTCATTTTCTTTGTGTGTGTTAGCCCATGAATATTTTGGTGGTATGATTTCTGATCGATTTTTTGCAAAACCTTAATAGAACCATCCGTAGGGAGTTGGAGGAGCAGTACGTGAAGCATCACCATTTTTTGCATATATCTTGGCCATTAAGAAACCATTTTAGAAGAATTAGGCGATTTTCTCAGCTTTTCGTGTGTTAACCCATGAATATTTTGGTAATATGATTTTCAAATGTTTTTTTTTTTGCAAAACCTTTACAGAAATTCAAGATTGTTTTTTTTTTTTTTTTTTTGTGCATTAGTCCATAAATTTTTTGGAATATGACCGACGTACTTTGTTTGACCTCAACTTTTATGGATCCATTTGTGACACCTAGTGAATGATACTCATTACCTATATAGGACTAACACCACTTTTTTAAAGTTTCGCGACCACATAACAAGAATTCAAGAGTAACTAAGCTTTTCATATATATATTAGTCGATGAATTTTTCTGAATATGACAAACTGACTTTGTTTGATTTCAAATTTGTGGGTCCATTTAAATCAACCTAGTGGATGATACTCATTGTTTCTCAACAATCATCGTCGTTTATTATGGAGTTTCTGGGTCAAGAATTTAAGATATTCTCCATTTTTCGTATGTAATGACCATGAATTTTTCAAAATGGGCATACATCAATGGATCAATTCATTCAACAAGATATGTTCGGATCAGACCAGGATGAATGGGATTGGTACTACTAACCGACTTCGTTTAACTTTTCCCATCTCTAATTTTGTGAGTCTATTAGTGAAAGATACTCAATATTTTTCAAAGATTGATGTGTGCTTCTTTTTAGTTTTTGGGTCACGAAACAAGTATTTTGATTATCTTAGCTTTTAGTAGATATTAGTCTACGAATTTTTTGAAATATGATTGATTGACTTCGTTTGATCCGAAATTTCGTAGGTCCATTTGTGAGAACCTATTGAACGATACTCGTTATTTATACAAAATCGACGTCAGTTTTCTGGAGTTTTTGAGTCACAAAATAAAATTTTAGTATTATCTCTAACTTTTTGTGTGTATTAATCCATTAATTTGTTAAAATATGACTAACCAACTCCCAAATATGGATATTTTGAGAATTATTTTTGTTCTTTTTCTTTTTATTTGTGAGGTTATTTTGGAGATATAATATATCATGGTATTTCAAGTTAATTCAATTTTTTAAAATTCTAAATATATTGTTCTACACCCCACCCCCACACACAAAAAAGGAGGTGGAAAGAAAACTTTGTCCTTGCATCCTCTCCAAGTGATTTTCTTTTTCCTACAATCTCTAACACCACCTCAACCCCTAGGAAAGAGACCCTCCCCCTCCCATCTAAGTAGCCATCTCATCTAAAAATTTATCGTGCACTGGAGCTCAATATGAAATTTTATTTTTTTACAAGATCCGTGCACGTAAAGAAATACTATAGAAATTACATCGAAATAATATCTTTACGTTGACCCTTTCTTGAACCAGAACTGAGGGAGGATGAAAGGAATAGGCCATTGCCAACCCTTTTCCTCCTCCTAATGTTTTTTTCTTCCCATTTTCTACCTAAAATCAAAGCTTTTATGAACGTGATGGTCATGAATTCATGTACAACCATGCATTTGTATTTTTAAGTTTTTTAAAATTATTTTTTTTGGAATCTTGAGAGGAACAACGTGAAGAAATAATTAATTAAAAGAATAAAATAAATTCTTGTAGACCTTTTCTTTCATTTGAGCTCCTTTGGTAAATAGACACAATTCATATATTATTTCTTGAAAGCATTTTATTTTTTTCTCTTTTCCTTGAGGGGATTGTGGATTTTTATTTTTGTTTTGATCTTTTGAGAGGATCAAGAACATGAGTTGCCTCCCCTGCTTCAAGAAAAAAGCCGAATCGCCGGAGGACGAGGTGCCGGTCGCTCAATCTAAAGGAATCTCAACCACCCCACCAAATCCTGGTATGATCATATAACATCATATATACTTCAACTTTTCTTATTAGATCTTTGAAATTTTGAAGAAAATGAAATTATGTGGTTGTGTTTCCTATGTAACATGTATATAATTTGATGATTTTTCTATTTAGTTTCCCTGCCCTTTTTTGATTGGGAAAAAAAATATACCCTTTTGAGTAAATATGCTCATCACCTATGGTAAAAGTTACCATCGACACGTATGATCAGGAGGTCAAGGGTTCAAGCCGGGAAACAACCTCTTGCAGAATTGCAAAGCAAGGTTGTGTACTTACCCAATGTGGTCCGGCCCTTCCCTGGACCGCACGTACAACTGGAGCTTAATACACCGAACTGCTATCCAAAAGAATCTAAATATGCTCACCCTCTTAAGTATTGTAGCAATTAGAGAATTCAGTAGACAGGTAGAAACAAGAGGATATTTTTTTTTCTTTAAGCTGCAATAGGCACTGTGATTGCTATTATGGCAGCTCTTTTGGCTTTACCAACTCATGTCATCATTTCTCTACTTTCCTCTATATGACTCGGACTCTTCAAAAATGTTGCCTCACTCGTTAGATCGTCCAAAAATGCATAACTTTTGGAAGGTCCGACACACATGACAACATTTTTGAAGAATCCTAGCAACATAGACTTTCCTAACTAGGCATAACTTATGTTCACTTTCTCCATGCATTTTGGATTAACCAACCAGCTGAACCATTTCACAAAGGCGACAACGTAAACAGCAATGCTAAGACTTACACATTCCGCGAGCTCGCGAGTGCAACAAAAAATTTCAAGCAAGAATGCCTGATAGGTGAAGGTGGATTTGGAAGAGTGTTCAAGGGAACACTTCAAGGTGGAGAGGTAACATTACCTTAAACTCTCTCTTTTCACCTTTGTTGTAACTTTAACCTACTAAATAAGAATCTTTTTTTCGGAGTTTTTGCTATTACGGAAAATATTCTTTGCAACTGTTCTTCATAAAATAAGTCACTTTCTGGTGTTTGGTTGCGAGAAAATGTTCTCAAGAGAACATTTTTCAGCATAAGGGAGAAATGGCTTCTCCACTTTTGTACTGAAGTCATTTCCCTTCACAATTATCTCAAACCTTAACTTTATATCACCGTAAACAGCCTCACGGAGATAGAGAGGCTGTTTACGGAACACTGGGAAACATTTTTCAGAAAATAAGACTTTTATCCCGAAAAAAAAAAGATTTCTGGTATCATACTAAACACACCATTTATAGAAGTTCATCTATATTAAGGTGAAGAAAGATTTCAGTATTGATGTCTGGTTTGTACCTGGATAGATTGTGGCAGTGAAGCAACTAGACAGAAGTGGAACACAAGGAAACCAAGAGTTCCTTGTTGAGGTTTCAAAGTTGACTCTCCTTAAGCACCAAAATCTGGTCAATCTCATTGGATATTGTGCTGATGGTGATCAGAGGATTTTGGTCTATGAATATATGCCAATGGGTTGCCTAAACGATCATCTTCTTGGTAAGTTTATGTTATGTTGCTCGGACTCTCCAAAAAACTACTTTTGGAGGATTTGACACGCACCCGTTGATGTTTTTGAAGAGGCCTAACAACTTATGTCCACCCTACTCTTCCCCCTTTCATGTTGTCATAAACTTTCTTGATTCTGTACTAACTAGTTCTACTACATTTCAGATCTCAAAGAGGATAAAAAGCCACTAGGTTGGCTATCCAGAATGAAGATAGCTTTAGGTGCTGCTAATGGACTCGAGTATCTACACGAAACGGCCAACCCGCCAATAATTTATCGCGATTTGAAAGGCACAAACATTCTATTGGATAAAGATTTTAATCCTAGACTTTCAGATTATGGTCTTGCTAAGCTTGCAGGTGGAGGGAGTAAGACAAACATGTCACCGATGATGATGGGAACTGGTTATTGTGCTCCGGAGTTTGAAAAAAATGGTGAACACACTTTGAAGTCAGATGTATATTGTTTTGGAATTGTTTTGCTTGAACTTATAACAGGACGTCGAGCAGTGGATACTACAAGGCCAGCAAATGAGCAAAACTTAGTTGCTTGGGTGAGTATTTTCATTCTACCACAAAGAGTTCTATTTTTTCTTTTTAAATCTCAAAGTTCTTGGGAAGGGGGGCCTTGTAAACAAAGGTAATGGTGCCTTTGTGTGACCTATAGGTCAAGGGTTCGAGCCGTGGAATCAGTCACTGATGCTTGCATCTGGGTAGGCTGCTTACATTGCACCTTGTTGTGGTGCGGA